CAATAAGCCATGACTCTTAAACTGATGTTAAATTCGAAGATAAAGTGCAAATGGGAATGTGACGCAGCATTATCTAAACAAAGTCAGAAAACGCAAATACGCTTTTAGTTGTTTTGTTAAAGGTTGTTCTCCCAGTTAAAGTCTGTAGCTTCTCCAACCTGGCATGACAGGGTTGATCAGCCTTAAAGCAGTGGCTATTGTTGTCTTCAGTGCCATCGGTAGAAATGGTCCATGTACATGATTTAAATGATCTCCTTTTCATTTCATGATCCAACTGGGCCCACCGTCCTTTCTTGGAGGTGCTTTAGGATTTTCGGCTGGTGTTAAGTTATTAACAGACTTAGCAAGCCATTTACATTACTTCTCTGTCACCGCTGCTTTGAACGGCTTGTTCAATAAAACGTTGGGTGTCTGAATATACTTCGTACAATTTCCTGGAACCACAACTCCATCCACTTCAAATGCCTTCACCTTATCTCTTACAGAATGGGGAAATATGACAGCGGCATGACTGGCATGACAGGGTTGATCAGCCTTAAAGCAGTGGCTATTGTTGTCTTCAGTGCCATCGGTAGAAATGGTCCATGTACATGATTTAAATGATCTCCTTTTCATTTCATGATCCAACTGGGCCCACCGTCCTTTCTTGGAGGTGCTTTAGGATTTTCGGCTGGTGTTAAGTTATTAACAGACTTAGCAAGCCATTTATGTTACTTCTCTGTCACCGCTGCTTTGAACGGCTTGTTCAATAAAACGTTGGGTGTCTGAATATACTTCGTACAATTTCCTGGAACCACAACTCCATCCACTTCAAATGCCTTCACCTTATCTCTTACAGAATGGGAAATATGACAGCGAAAACTGTCCAGCCTTTGTCCAAATGCAAAATGGCCAACAACAGAATCAATCCACTCTTCTGTCCATTGCTTGTTCATCCAACCATTAACATTGCTGTTGATGATACAATTGTTGCTCGTTTAGCACTGCACACTCACGTTTCCCAGCAGTGCACATAACAAAAGGTTTAAGTCTAGTTCCATCTGCCTTTTCGTCATAACGCCCTTTCGCTTTAGCGATGATGATATTACAAGAAACCTGGAGACCTTGCTCTCATTTGTCATTTTTCAAAGCAGAAGCTCATCTTCTAGGTCAGTGTACTTTCGTTTGCGACCTCCAGACATTTCAAATGTTAGAAAGTATCAACTTCTTTGCAGAACGAATAATGTAACTGCTATATGCAAAAATAGGTTTTTTTCTACCATTCATGATGACTTAAAGACCGTGCATCATACCTCGGGGTATCCTTAATAAATATGCCTATTCATTTCTTATCTGCCTCATCTTCAATGCTCTCTGCCATCACTAAAATGCTAAATCCATCTGGCAACTTTGCAAAAAGAAGGTGAAAGGTTCCCATAAACCGTGACAAGCTCTTTATGGACTGGCCTTGCTCGGAAACCTAATTTATAACCAATATAAGAAATGAATATACTCCCTTGAAGACTCCATGTCACAACCAAATCAGCATGTAAATAAAATTCCACACGGGCTGTGTATGAGCACTACATTTGCATAACAATTAGCTGTTAATGAGATGTGAAGATTAAAATAAAAATGAACAACCATTGTTGCATCAAGAACCTAGTACTTTTCTTGGTGACAGAACTTCCTGATCCGCCCTTATAATACTTAAACAATCTAGATTCTTTCTCGCCATTTTTTATCAATTGCAGGAAATTCAACGTACGAAAGTCCAAAAAGAAGTAATAAATGTTGGCAGCTGAACGTGCCAGCAATAATTGAGATATTTAGTCCAATCTGGTGACACAGCTCGTTCACTAGTGTTACCAGTGTTACCAGCCTAACATTTAATTAAGGATACACACCTATTGATAGTGGTAGTAATGATTGCAGGCTTTCCTTGAAATCTTCAGGGTTCCGGTTTTGTTACAGTAGAAATTTCTCTGTGTTGAATAGCAAGTCTAATGAAAGGCGGACTCGTAAGGCTAACATATTGCTGGATTAGGGCTGCAAATGTTGGTCTTTAGGATTCAGAGGACTTATAAGACCACGGATGCTACATACCGACCGGAACAGGTCCAGGCACCACACCAACTTGCATTTTAGCTGGGTCTGTTCCCGGTGTGATAGACACGTGATGTTAGGCACTGGAGTTTGCCGGGTCAATCACAGTGAAGCACTAGGTGGTCAGCAAGATTCAATGCTTCTATTAACATCAGGCTAGTTCGACTTCTTACAGCACTTGCGGTGAACACGAGAAGGAAACATGCGATTCATATGTCAGAAGAAATAAAAACTACAGTTATGCTCCATAGAAGAAAAAGAAGGAAAAACAAACAACAACATTTACAGCGTGACTTGCATCTGATTATGACTCCTGGGGGTTAAGGGAACTCCAAATCTCCAACAGTTGTAATAAGTCCAAAAGTTCTTCAACAGCTTCTTACAGTGTGAATGACTCTTTACGACTGAGTAAACATGCTTTAGAGGTAATGCATGCCTTCTGGCGTAAAGGAAACATAACTGAATAGAGCTTTGTGTGCCTAGCTAAAAAGCAGATCAACTTCAACTTCAACTTTATTTCATAAGACTATTGGTTACAATAGACTGGCCCGCAAAATAGCAATTGCTAATCTAGGCGGACCAGTTAAAAGAAAAATAAATTGAAAGGAAAAGGAAAGAAAAACTACAATTTGAAGTTACAATAAATAATATTCTATCACAGTTTTATTTTAATTACATTAAATCTGAACAAGCAAGCAAACAAATACTTTAATACAGAAATCACTAAACTATTAATCGAACTTTTTCAACTATTAAGGGCGTCTCAATATAGTCATCTTCTCTTTTTAAGATATCCGAAAGCAATCTGTGAAGTACTTTCCTAAATTTCTTTTTAGGAAGATCTCTAATATGACAAGGTATCTCATTCCAAAGTCTTACACCAAAGCGAGACAAGGAGTTTTTGTGTATTTCCAGCTTTGAGCTGGATATATGTTGATTGTGCAATAAATTAAAACAATGCTACAATTAAGGAACAAAACAGTCCTTGAATGTAAATAAATGTCATTGTTCACGGACAACGTGACACTCCTTGTCTAAGGATCCTTGACCTTTTCTGCCGTTATATATCTTCTTCTCTAAACAGGGGCAGAGTCTGCATCTAGGGAAACTACTCATGGTTCTCTACTTGTGCAGTTACCGGAAGGACAAGCTCCTCAACTGGCCGCAGAAATGATTTCTTTGTACCACCTCTCACTATTTCCACTCGGGCCTTTCTTACTCAACCATTTGTCTTGAAGAGTAAGTAAAGCAGTTTTGGACAATTCAATTAGTCTACCACCATCACCCTCTTTAACTGCATCTTTAAATTCAAGCAATTCAAGCAGGCCTTAAAAGCATGGATAGAGCGTAGGGAAAGAAGTGTTATAAATGTGTTGCTATTATCCACTGCCAAAAAAGTGACATCTTAAACTTAAATTATGTCACATTGTTCTTTTAAATTTGATTCTGATTTCTTTTCGCACACTAGGTGGTACTGAGTGACTTTTTGACTTTTGAATCAATGTTTTTTCCTAACTTTGTGATATGAGAGTTCGTGTTAGCACGTGTGAAAAAGGGCATTCATTGTATATCACCAGACCAGGCATCCGAAGGGTAGTTTGGTTTCAGTGTATCAACAGCAGCTGAACTATTGTTTTCACTCTCCATTTGGTGTTCTTTACACTTTGTATAAACATTGTAAGGATCAGGATCAACTATATTTTGGTCTCGGCCAGGAGAAAGAAGATAAAGCAATAATGATGTTTAAATCTCTAAATGAACAAGCTCCAGTGTACTTGCAGAACCTGTTTCACGAACGTAGCACAGACTATGATTTGCGCAATTCCTTTCATAAACTGACATTGCCCAGGCCGCGTACTAACTTCTTGAAACGAAGTTTTAGTTACAGCAGTGCTTTGTTGTGGAACTCTTTACCCGAAAATGTAAGAGAAATTAAATCAATCATGAAATAAAGGGTCCACCTATCTACCTACCTACTCTATGGAAACCTCATTATACGAACAACTTATGCTATCTTAAAGTGGGATTGATGAGAAGAAAATTACCACTTTTGTTTTACTTGATGCCAGCAAAGCTTTCTACACAATAAATCGTGGAATTGTGCTCAATAATCTGCTGGATATTGGAAACTCTCCATCAAATGTTGCTTGGCTTAGCAGCTATGTCTTCGACAGATGACATGTTGTGTACGTAAATTCTGAGTTGTGTGATCCTCTACCCGTTGTATCCAGGCGCGCCAAAAGAAAGCATTCTTGGACCCATTTTGTTTAGTATTTATGTAAACCATTTACCACATGCCTCCCCCGTTCCTGTCTTACCGAAGGTTCACTGATGACACAAAACTTTACATTTCTTTCCCAGCCCTTTTAGGAAAAGAACTAATACTAGCGCATGTTGTTAAAACAGTTTCTTCCTGCTTTTCAAGTTTAGCTCAAATTAATCGTGTTAAGCACGTGTTTGAAAGATTGACTTTAACCAAAATAATTAACACTTAAGTGTTCTGCAAGTTATTATATTGCTCTTCCGTCTGGTCCAATGTAGTGGACACTAACCTGCTCAAGCTCCAAGTGGTCCAGAACTTTGCGGCCCAAATCATCTGTGTTTCCAGAAAATTTGACCATGTTACTCTGCTTCTCAAAGAACTACACTGGCTACTTATTTTCCCCCTCTCTTCTGCCTGGACAGTACTTCCATAGCATGCAACTTAGGAGTTCCTGCCAAATATGGTGTCCTGTTTAACTGACCACTTCATTTTCAGCATTCTCTGAAAAGATTATAAGTATATAAATATAATTTGCTAAATAATTATATCACTAACTTACTAAACTAACTGTTAACCTTTTCTGCTCTAGCTATTTATCTATGAGATCATACTGGCTGGTTGTTGGACTCACAAGCTTAAGAGAAATAACATGACAAAACATGTTAATGTGTACTATCGTATGCAACAAAACCATTTCCAAAACAACTGATTTGCGGAACCAAATCTCCTTCCCCCAGATCAAAGTTGCTTCCTACAAATGACCAAGGATCAGGGTTGCTTTAGAACACACAAGAAAATTGCTTCCAAGGGGAGGGGGGAAGGGAATAATCCGTACATCTAGGATGTTAGAAAATGTTCTCCAAATGTCCAATTGGTGGAAAATGTTTCTCTGAACTAATACTGGGCAAAACTTCCAGTGGTACATAAACGTTGTTTGTAAAAGTGGGCTAACTTTTTATGACGATTCCATGCATAATAATATCTTGATTAACTCAACATTGCAACAGTTCATATGACTTCATTGAAGTTAGTGAATGATTTTCTGGTAAACGACCTTGTGTAAACAACCTTGTTATTTGTTGTTAATCGTTGTCAAAGTTCATAGCCCCTTCAAATGTCCTGTTAAGCTAATCCAATCATAGATCTTGTGAATGGGAAGAGGTTAGGAGACCACTGTGGCCACGTTTATTATCTCTTGGTTTACATATGGTGAATTTATGTCCTAACCTCTTTCCAGTCAAATGTATGTATGAACCCTGTGGAAAGTAGTTACAGTCTTAAACGTCACGCGAACGTGCCTTTTGACACGTTGTTCTGCCTGACACTTCTAGTGTTCATAGTTGTAGCTTTTGCACTGAACATCACTACAATCTCTAAAGTAAACATTAAAATTGCAAAGCAAAAATTTGAGTTTAGTTAATATTTGGTCCTATCTCCATTTGATTCTTTTATTAACTGCAAGCACTTACTCATAGACTCGATTGTTTTGTCTATTTCAGCAATGAAAAAACTGCTTTGAAGTTGTCACACGTTTTGAAAATTCTCCGAATGTTTCATGTGTTATATTTTTTTGCAGTGCTTGCTGCCTTAGCTCCTCTCTCATGGAGTTTTCAATGGTATTGATGTGCGGACTGCAGGGAGGAATTGTCAGTTGCTTTGCTTTCAAGGTGTTTAGAGCCTGGCGTACACTCGCACAATTTTGCACGGGGTCATTATCCTGTACAAACAGGTGTCCACCTTTTTTCCCCTCTTTATGAAACAACTTGCTATCTTCGTTTGCTTCAACTTATAGATTGTAGCTGCTGAAACTCCAGCTTTCTTGCTAATATCCTTTATGGAGACACTCTTATCATGCATTAAATATCCAACGTATATCCGCTCCTCCACACTTCAAGCACGCCTAAAAACCATGGTCGGGAAGAAACTTCAAAAATGTTAATGATTGACTACTTGAAATGAAACAAAAGACTCTTCTTGTCATTAACTTCTATGTAGTCACTAATTGTTCATTAATTATCTCAGTTACTAAAGAATGTACTCTATATAAAGGACAGGTTCATATTAGCACAGTAAACGAAACCTCATTCCCAGGATTCTATCCTACCCGTCCTTATGGAGTGATAGAGAGAGAGTCCCTGGTTGGGTCTGGTCACATGGCTCCAGAGCAAAATTAATTCTGAGGGCAAGCGCCCTTTGTCTCTCAATTTTTTTGTCGCAACGGTCCAAGATAGGGCAAGATAGATTTGCTAACCCTACAACTATAACTGAAACCATGGGAAATTTCTGCCTAGACAGGAATGCCACTAGATAACCAAGTTTAAATTATCTTTTGCCTGACAGCGGCTGCTGGCAATCGGGCCAAATCAGTATACTGCAAAACCTACACCATTAGCAGTCTTTGCACCTTAGGGAGTAGGGAATTCATATTTGCTGAACCGGCAAAATAATAATTTTGATCTAGTGACTTTATGGAAAGCTACAGTCTCATGAAGTGTCAGCTTTCTCCACCCCCTAATTAACCTTTGTTATGATGAGCAATAGAGAACTGTATCACTTTTAGTGGTAGATAGTGTTTGCAAACAAATGCAAAGGATAAGCACAAACCGACAGATGACAAAAGGAAATGATGCAGTAAAAACAAAGACAAGACGGACAACATAATCTTTCCAGCGAAAGGTTTTCTTGTACATGGTCCATATGAAAACTTTAATAACACATGCAACCCAGTGATTTCTGAAAATCCTCTAAAGCTTAGCATACCAAACCCTTCAGAATAGCAAAAAATCTAACAAATAGTTAGCGGCCGTGCAAGCCAATTAATTTTAACAGAGATGTTTACGGCCATTCGATCAGTTGATTTTAAACGATGATGAAAAAAATGGAAAGACAGAGTCATACATAAAAATATACTCTTTCAAGGTTCTGTTCATCTCTTTTCATTTGAAAAGTCAAGCTGTGTCCTGGCGGCGTATTCTCTCTTCCTGTTGCTTTGACCTTGCTATTTGATTCATTTGTGAGGTCGGTGAGGACGGCGATGCTTCATACATCTTTTTCGCGCCCTTCATGTACATTTGTTTTCTAATGTGGTCTCTACTACAACATAGAAATAGCATTCAAATCCAGTGCGTTTCAATAGGTAAGAATGCCACTCAGTAAACTATTTTTGACTGCTCAAGCATGTGCCAATAGAAAGCATCCCCAATAGATTAACATCCAGATGTTCCGAATTTCGTTATGATTGATTTTGTGCATTATTTTTGGCATTGAAAGTTTTGTCTTGCCTAGTCAGGACCTTTACGACAAGGTCAGGTACACAGTTTCATGGGTACACTTTCCATCAACGGTCTGCAGAGAAATCATTTGTGTGTAATCTCCCTGATTCTGGGAGGCTAGTGACAAGACCCAACCAGGGTCTCTCGACAGGTGGGAGAGAAAACCTGGAAATGAGGTTGCACTAAAAGCACAAAATCCACATTTTCAGTCAAACACAATCCCAGACAAAACTACTTGAGAACGTTTTTCCCTTAATGCGCACTGCCATACGCAACAAAACTATTTCCAAAGCAACTGATTTGCGGAACCAAATCCCCTTCCCCCAGGTCCAAGTTGCTTCCTACAAACGTTCAAGGATCAGGGTTGCTTTACAAGACACAACAACTTTACTTCCAAGGGGAGGGGAGAATGGAAGAATCGGTACAGCTATGATTTTTAGAAAAATGCTCTCGAAATGTTCAATTGTCTCAAGAATTTTGTCGAAGATTGTAGCTAGAAGATCATTCTTAACAACAGGAAAAAGGTAGAAATAAACTTTTGATTGAATTTCAAACTGTTTTGAAAGCTGACTGAGCTTCCTAGCTATAGCTTTCCTGGCTGTGTTTCTTACTGTTGATGTTGACGGTTAAAAAAAATGGTACATGACTTTTGGTCCTTTCAAGTCATTGAGCACTAGAAAATGTCTTATACTTCAGTGTTCTGTGATGTCCATACAGCAATCAACTTTTCATTCATGCCTTTTCGTGCCTTTGCCAGCCTTTCACTGAGTTGCCATGGCATTGAAGCTTCGGCTGTAGAGGGTGGACTAGAATGAAAACAGACATAAAAGTCAAAGACATGAATAAAGAACATGTAACTAATATAATACTTGGATTTTTGTGGCAAAAAAACGTGAATTAACTATAGAAAACTTTAAAAAACTAACCCCACATCCTGCTGTTTTCAAGACACCGGCAAATCGCTCTCACCACCATCACAGTAAGCATGTCATGCCATCCATTGGTGCCATTGTGCAAAAAATCTTCGACTTGTAAGCTCCCTATTCGCACCGCACATGGTCGGAGCCCCATAGCTAAGGAAATGTGGTAATCTACCCATCCGAGAAAATTTGGTCATCACGTGACTGTACACCAAGCAACCATCCGTCTGCACCACAGGCATACCAATGTAAAATAACTTTATCGACAGGAATGGCAACCCAAATGCGACTCAAGGTTTTATTTGGAAGGAAATCACATGGCCACCTGGACTTTTAGAAAGAAAAAACAACAACAAAGCCGTGTCTTTTTCCGTGTTATTTTTATGTTTACAGTAATGTGGATAACAGAGAAAGAGCTAGAGCGAGTTATTGAAAACAAAGGAGACAAATTTCGTAGGGAGAAAAACATGGAAATTCAAAGTGGCTGTGAGAAAATGAGAAATGCTAGTGGCCAGCAAGGAGCGGCCAGCAAGGTGAAACTGAGTGGTGGTGAAAAATAAAAGCGAACATGAACACAGGAAACAAAATATTGGGTAAACACATACGACAATTCTTCCATAAAATAATGAGTAACTAGGAAGTTTGGCGTTTTAATCGTACAAACCAGCGTTGTAGGTCTTGTAGTCGTGCAAAACAATGGCAAGGGAAAGACAAAAAAGCATGCTGTACGTACAAATTTGCTTTTGCTAATTAAAAGAAAAAGTGCCGCATGTGCAATTTGTTTTTATGCTGATTAGATCTATTAGTCTTGAAGCCATTTTTATTGTCGTCTCCGTTTAGCATTACATGATTCAATTTTTTTGTTTATACGTATTATTAACTGGAGCTTAGCTTTTAGCCCTGGCTAAATCTATATATTAGTTTTACTACAGTCATACAATTCCATTGGCTGCATTTGGTCCTATGACTTCCATGTGTTCAAGCTAAACATAGTCTATGATTTCTGCCTGATCCCAAACAGTACCTCTAGCTAGAATCCCTTCGTGCCTAGATGCATACTAGAAATACGTATCTCACAACAACCCTGGCAAAACTCGGTTTGGTAACAGCACTCAAGTAAAGCCCTGTCGGTCGGGGTTAAGAACTGGATGAGTGATTAACTGCGAATGTCGTTGTAAAGGTCCATATGTTGTTCTTTCTTTTCTTCTTCTTCATTTTTGCATATTGTTAAAAGTGTATTGAAAACCATATTTAGCATTATTTCAACCTCCGGATTTGGAAAAAAAGCAAAAACAAAGCACAGATATAGCAGTGCATTTGGCATGAAAATTATTATACCTCGGGCCATAGTACAGACTTTGATCTTTTTTTTTGGCGGAGAAACTGGCAAACTAATAAATTTAGGTTTTCCACAGTGTAAAACGATCAGAATGCCTCTGGTATTCCAATCTCCTGTTCCTCTTTTCCTCTGTCTCTTGTTGTCGGCATTGCCTTTGCTGTGCTAACCGATGTTCTCTGTGCTCTGCAGTTTCTTGTTGATGTCTAATCTCCTTCGTTGTTCACGCTGAATTTAAAGTTAGCATTCTCGCTCCAGTGGAGTTTTGGTGGAAATCTTCCTGGACGAGGATTTGAAGCCACTTGTTGTGCATGTGTGTCATTTGCATGGGGAAATCTGTTTGATTCACCGATGGTAAACATTGTTCCACAGGCAATGAATAAACACAACAAAATGCGCCTTGGTCGTAGGCAGCAAAGTCTATGTTTCCTTGAAATGCCAAATGCTCCATGACGTCATTGGTGGACACCAAGCATATATTCATAGATTTATTTACGGGGCATCGAATTTTGCAACTGGCTAAGACCACGCGTGGTTAGCAGACTGTGCATGTGCGATGAGATTATAAAGTCACTACGCTCAGAATAAATAGGATTAATTTTCAACTTCAAGGCCAGCAAGATGCTAAAAGAGACCATTTTGTGGATTCATACCATGCATTCATTCTAGCCAACTTCATTGCCTAATCAGGGTATAAAAGATATGGTCAGGGTACACGGCAGAAAATATTTCAATAGGTTTATAAGACCTTTAATTGAAACCATGGCAGTTTTTTACTCGCTATCACTGATGAATTAATAACTTCCATTTCCACCACTCTGAAGAATGAGGAAATATGGCTTAGTTAACACATATAATGAATGACACGTAAATTATTCACTTCACTGGATTGCCATGGTTTACAGTATTGTGGGAGAAGGCATCTTAGGAGAACAAATTAGATCTAGATCCCAGCTCCTGAATCCTCAGCAAGATTTCCTGTTTCTATAACAGTATACTGTCAATTTCCAGGTAAGTTTAAGTTTTTCCTTTTGAAGAACAGACAGGTGTAGTTCATTTAGGGCAGTGATTTAGCGGAGCTGCTTGATGAATCCAGCTGTAGATCAGGTAGAGCTACTGGTATGTTATATCTGGACAGTCGATGTGGCACCATTGAAGAATGGCTGTCAGTTGCTCTGACGGGGAGTTTCCAGATAAGGGAGTAGTTTCTCCCGCAGATACAGCTGATAGTTCAAGAATGTCAGCATCTGTTGTTGAGTCTGAAACTTGTGCTGCATAAAAATTTTACTTTATAAAAATTGTGCTGAAACCCCTCAACACCCATCACTGGTTTGATTATCCTTTTCACACTACATTTCACACTAAGTACTCCAGAGATCTCAACCGGTCAGTGTAAATCGCAGACTGCAGACCAGGGGTAAAATGCAGACTGAGTGTAAAATGCAGGCTAGGTGCGAAATGCAGAATGAGGACTGCAGACTTTTTAACATTTTTGCTTTTTCTTCAAACAGCGAACTGGTATCAGTTAGACAGTGTATCGTTGACTGACAAGTGACATTTGATATGACTGCAAAAGACTGCATGTTAACTTTTAAGAAGTGATTTTGATATTTACAGGTGTAATTTTGATGTAATATGCCTTTTGATGTTCTGTATTTGGATGCCCAAAAGTAACCAATTCTTCGACAGAACACTGTGATCATATTTATGTTTTCATTTGATCATTTCCTATTGATTTCCCTTTCAAGATTAGAAACATGATTGTAATTGTTTATGTCATAATTTTACAGCTTCAGATTATTCATTGTCGAAATAAATGCTGAATTTACCAAGCTTTCAATGTGTATGGTCTGCATTTTACCCCTGGTCTACAGTCCGCAGTCTGTATTTTACACTGACCGGAATCTCAACACAGCTGAAAAATGTGACCATGAAAGACAAAACAGACACAAATGGAAAACTGTTTGATTGGGAAAAACGCATGGATAACGAACGGTATACAGAGCATTTGAACAGTTTGACTAATCAAAATTATTCAAACGGATGAATAAATTCTTTCGCTAGCTGTAACTTACTATTTTCAGTATCACTGTTCTCAAAGTCACATTACAATACCTTTGAAACCTAACATGGAAGTACAAAATGTCATTACTAGTACGCATAAATAGAATAATGCAGCAGGCGTTAGATGAAAGTTCGTACCAGATGGCGTGTGTACTACAGCGGCAAATGTTCCCTTGAATCCACTCTTGTAAGTTATGTGTAATATCTTTGAATCAATCACAACTTCACTCTACTGAAAAATACGATTTATGAATCTTGAATAAGGAGTTTTATCGAGCACGTGCATATGGAATGTACTGCGTGTACACAGACAAAATTTCGCAATATTTCTGAACACACTGGCAAACCATTGAAACAGGTGAATAAAATGTCAACCAGATTGGTTAAAGAAACCGATAAACTGTCTGCAAACTAATCATTCTGAAGGGAAGTGGTGATGTTTATCGGTTATTTTAGTCACGGATATTGTTATAAATTCTGTTGATTGAAGAAGATAATAGTATTTTGATTTGTCTCATCAGTGGTGATGAGACGGGTTTTAGTCTTCTTCACTCTTGATGAATTTTATCATTCAGCGAAAATCAGTTTGAACAGATTGTTAAAGAAGTAAATCGTTCTGAATTGACCAGAATTGGCAATGTTGATCCGTTATTTCAGTCGATGCTGGATAGTTATGTTTTCGGCTGTGCGAGAAACACTTCTATTGTGATTGAGAAAGGAAGGCCTATTTTGGTTCATCTCTGTCTCATTGCAGGGTGACGACAATGGTTTAGTGTAGTTCACTCACGAAAATTATTAAGGTATGTGCTTTCAAAAATTCATGTTTAGCTTTTCAATTCTGCTTTCATCTTACGATATAAGCAATACGTTCAAAACATCTTTTTTTTGCCGAGTGCATGATATAATCTGAGATTTTTTCAATAGTAAGGGGACCTGAGATGTTTGTAAAGCCTTTAACGTAACGCATCATGGAGCTTTGCAGGCAACAAAGAATATGCGTATTGCTGAGGAAATGGTTGACCTTAAGTGTCGAAAGACCAAAACGTCTTCTAAATCAAAGTAATTTTAATTTGGGAACTCTATCAGAACACTAAACAACGTTAGCTTTTATAGTATGAGTAGCCTTTTTCAATAGATTTGTTTGGAGCAGGGCTCAAAAATTGTTTGCTCATATCAAAGCAGTGAATGGATTGTCTTCCCCCAAAGTCATGCATGGGTATATCGCGATGAAAAACAAAAAAAACGAGCGTTCTTTAAGTACAGCTGTCGTTCATTGCAGGACAAATGATGAACCTGATGTAAGTGTTCGCTTAGCTTCAGTAAATCGTGCTTTCCACAGATAGGACACACGTCTGTTACAGTAAAGCATGTTGACGTAATGAAGTCTTAATGCAAATGGCAGTGATGCAAAAGTGATTGGTTTCTATTTATAGATTTGCATTGCAAATAAGCTTCTCAGGGCCTTAGGGGCCTTGGGGCCTTAAATTTTTTTTTGTCTTGGGGCATTGTACAATGTATAAAGTACACTTAACAGCTAACAAGGTAAACAATCTTAGATTAGCAGGCCTACTGCGCAAAAAAAAAAATATGACTGTAGGGTTGTACTGTCTCAGAAATGTATGAAATCTTTCTTCAACGGGTCTCTCTGACTTAATAAAATACATACATGTCAATTTAGAAATGTGTGACAGCTGAGTCCTACAACGCTAGAAATACACACACCACAATTTACAAGGAGATAGGTTGACTATGTGAGAACCCTATTTGGAACACTTATATGGACGCCTATATGGGACGTCTATATATGGGGTTTGGCGGATCCTGTTGATCCGCCTATTTTCACTGGATCCTCTGTCCCAGAAATACACACATGGTAATTTAGAAGGAATGTATAAGATAGGTTCACTATTATGAGAACCCTATATGGGACACTTACATGGAATGCTGGACGGTTATATGGAATGGACTTTATGGTCACCGGATGCTTTGTCCCTGAAATTAGAAGGATTTGTATGGGATTTTTGATTTGCCGGATCCTCTGTCCCAGAACCCCCATTATCCCTCTACTAGCTTCAAACGTATTTGCTTGAAATGTAACACAGCCAGGTTTTTAGACCAAGAAATTAGCTGCTGCATATGATTTAAATTGCTACTTTTATATCCTTTTATTTTTTGGGTCTGCAGTAATTGGCTTTAGCTGTTGCAGTGTCCCTGCCCAAATATTTAAGGTATTATTAGTGTATTGTTACATTCTTATTACTAGTGTTGAATTATACGATTATCTACAAAAAATTGAATATTGATAATTACATTAAAAAGACTACAAGTGATTTAAAACAGCAAATAAGGACATCATATATATGTTCTAAAAGTATATATTTAAGAGGTTTAAAAATCTACCAAAACCGTTCAAGCCTTAAGGGCGTTAAAGGTAATAAAACTACTACGAAACCTGTTTGTCTTAAAAGCTGGCTTAAACTTCGGCATATTTCTTAGGTTAAAGGTACATGTGTTGCGAGCAGGAAGAAGTTCATGGAGCTTGTTCTGTTCGTTCTGTAAAACGTTCTTAAATAGTTTGTCAACTAGTTCCTGGCGGCGGTCTGAAAGTTTAGTTAGGCCTGATTCAACCAAGGCCTCATTGTATGAGCAAAGAGGAAAAATGATGTGCATAGCCCGCTTTTGTACTCCTTCAAGTTCGTTGGAGAGGTACACCGGGAGGCCGTCATGAAAGACAGGACACGCGTACTCTGTGATCGGACGAATACAAGTGCAGAAAAACTGGACTAACTCATAGGTACCAAGACCAGAGTGTTTAAGCTGAGATAAGCTATACAAGCGCTTTTTAGCTTTCTTAATAATGGAGTCTCTGTATTCTTTAGGGCAGAGCTAAAAGCATTCCACTTTTCCTTGAGATTGTGGTTGATAGGCCTAGGTCACTTTATGATCAGGTGATCTGTGTTGATCTCATATCAGTGACAAAAGTCAACCAACATGGTCGCTTGACTTTATCCCATGGGACATAGGCATAGGAAGCGGCTAAATACGTCCACAACTGTTAAGATGTGCCTATCCCCTTTGCCATAAAGTGCTTAACTGGATCCTTGCTAAGATCAATTAGGTCAAGCTAATGTTGAGATTGGTGTGGGAACCGCCTTATTGGTAAACCTAGCATTGTGACCATAATATTTGAATTCACTATTGGTCACTTAAAGTGTCTCCCTTTCACTGAAACCTGCATAACTGTTAGTAGCATGATTTTGCAGCTTTTTACAGCCACCAGATTTCGCCTTGTCAAAGGTTTTTCAAATGAGAGCTGACACAGAGAACCTGTTTATGTCCTTTCCTTGAAAAAAAAAAAACAAAACAAAACAAACAAACACAACCAGTTTAGGTGTAGTCTCTTTCCCAAGACAAATTTGGTTTCTTCATCTCCAAAGTCATACTGATGTATTTCTTTTTCATACACGTTTATTTGTTCACAGGTACGTCAAACTTTCCTTGAATGAAGAACAGCAAAAACACTGTCACTTGCTGGATGAATGTGGTTTTGCTGTATCACAGCAAACAATACCAACGATAAATAGTACACAAACAACTGAAACTCTCCATTTACAAGCCATCTTGATAACAGGATATAAGCGAAAAAAGATCAGTCTTTGTCGTGATTTACCGTGGGAAACACCCCAATGGCATACCACTAAAATCAAGAATACATAACAGGAAATTGGAAATGAGGGATGTGAAATGACCTCAATCAAGGATATTTTCTCTAAAGTTCAAAATATGATAGGATGAGGCTTTTCTTGTTATGTTTTAATTGAGGTTAGAGTTAAATATTGTCATAAAAAGGGTTAGTTAAATGGCTAGGATACGGCTCAGATAAGAGCTCCGGATTAATGTATTTATAATTAGACTGGGTTTAAGGCTATAAACGCCATACAGCTCTAGTAGTGTCTTGTTTTGTCCATTCCTCGTCCCCATGTCCCATTCCTTGTTCTTAGGTGTATAATTTTCCTTTTGTTCAGAGGCAGAGATATCTGTTACAGAGTGCATCACACCCAAAAATGTTTTGAGTGGCGATTGTCCCAAAGCACTGCAGAAATTTTTAGCATTATTGAAAAGGAAAAGGTTATGAAGTTTACTAACTGATTTCTTGCAGTGAATTTCCTTTTAAAGAAATGAACATTGTTGAAATTTGATGATCTCAACTATTTGATTGCCGAGCATGTGAGCATATCTGCTCAAAAATCGTACATTGTATTTTTTGAAGCTTGCTGAATGGCCTAGTTAGAACCAATAAGCATTTTTAATATGATGATTAAAGAGCCCAGGATCAACTTTCTGTAAACATGAAAACACTTTTTTTCAGGAAAATTAGTTTAGCAGGAAGTTCGTAAGAGCATTTGAAAATGAGTTTCAGCCATATATCTTAAAAGTAGTGATTTAAAAAGACCGAAGAAAATTAATGTTGGTTAACTGCTGCGAATTATAAATCTTGGAAACTTTCCACACTGGAATTCACATCATAAGCCGAAAAACAGGCCTCCCAAGGTGTGCAAGACAGAGTTGTTCTCAAACCATCAAAATCAGACTTTCTATAGTTATATACCTTTCTTGCACCATACTTTACCCTTCTGAAACTGCTCTTGATGGTAAAAGTAACAGAAATATGAGCTGAATAGTAGCTTCCTGACCTTGTAGGTACATTAGTAATCAAGGCTTGATGATTTGTTAGGATGAGATCGAGTATACGTCCAGTAGAACGATTGTCTGTAGTTGAACTAGGGCGAGCAACAAGCCTATTCATTTGCATAAGAAAAGAGTCCTGTAAGATGTTGCAGAAAGATTCAACTTGTGTATCTGAGTTTGTCATGCTGGTGGCCGACCAACCAATATGAGGGAAATTAGAGACACCAGTAGTAATTACTACATCAGATATTCCAATACCGTTAAATTTATGTAGAAAGGTCCTGAACCCGTCCAAGAAAGTCACCTTATCCATTCCCTTCCACCCTTGTTATATCTATTCAGTTCAATGCTATTTGTCAATTAGAAATTCGTTCGTGCTTAACATGCGTCTATCTAGCTAGTCTCTCTAGCACAGTTGCCAAAATCGTTTCAGCATTCTATCAATACTCTATCTTTCCAACACTATCAATACAGTCATCCACTCGAGCAATTGCTCAATGCTCAACCTCGTCCCCAAGGCGCTTTTCCCTGGCTTTGGAGATAGGTGGGAAAAGGCCCTGGTATCGCCAGTCACACTGTCATTTTGATTACTTGATTGATTTAGGCAATTGATGCAAGAAAATGGCGAAATAAATTCCACTCCCTCAAAGTCTTTTACAGCTTCAATCTTATCTACAGAAATGTCAAGAAGTATGAACAACCAATCGCATGTAGGCCTCAAGGCTACTCGGTGGTGTTATGTGGATGACATTGATTACTTAAGGAGCATCAACCCCCATGCCAAGTGCTGAAGTTGCAAATAGCACCCTCACCCTCAATTTTTTTTCGTTATTTTGGATATAATGTCCTTCTTCATACGACTTGTTTGGAGGTCATGAAACCTTCACAAATAGTCTTGCCGTTAATTCTGAGGTATTTCTAACATACTGCTTGTCTTTTAACATTATTTCAAATAACCCATAAGCAAAACCATAGTATTTCAGCTTAAACTATATAATTTGTAGTTGGGTAGTTTTCTACTTGTACTGCTAGTTCGTTTGCAGTGGGTTCAAGGATATGGTCGTAAATTTCTTCCCCATGGTGACTGCTGAGGCACAAATAAAATTTTGCAATCACTTTTTAGACGTAGACTTTGTTTTAAGTCTTTTAATAAATCAGGCGGTGCAATCGCTGTCAGAGCCATTATACAGTTGAAAAGAATGCCTTTAACACTGAAAGCTCTTCACCCCTGAATCAAGACATTAAAAAATATGCCCAGTTATAAGCAAAACTTCTTTTACATTAGGCATTTTGTGGGCGCATATTTTGTATATGAATTATGGTTCAGATGTAAAAACATGGAGACTAATATATAGATTTAGCCAGGGCTAAAATGGAAGCTTCCGTTTATGTACTTCTAATAAAATGCAACAAAGTTTATACTCATTAACTTAAAGCCATTGCAAAGAAGTCAAAGAAATATTGAAATCCCTACTTATCATTTAAAGCTTTTCATCCTCCTGTTCTACTGAACCTGAAAGTGGAATCACCGTTACATGCAAAACTGACTTAAACAGTCCCGCTTGTTGGGTGGGGGAAATCTTAAAGGTTGTGGACCATTAAAGTTTTGAAATATTGATGCATATTGTCGGGTTTGGAATGGACAACAAAGACAGGCTAAATTATTGTCCAAACGAAGAACAGTACAGTTTGATTGAAATTTTAGTTCGTTTGCTATGGGTTCTAGGATATGGTCATAACTTTCATTTCCATGGTGACACCTTCAGAACCTTTTTCAAGAAATTGTCGCGTAGTAGTTAAAGTAAACTTAGCTACTCCGTTGGAATATGAGTCTCCTCGGTCAAAAGAGAACCCGCACTGGTGCTTTATTCTCAGTTTAGCTTCCTTGGGAGGGATATGCAGCACCATTATTTGACAGTTCCTGCGCAGGGGCATGTTCTGTAGTATCTAAATTTGAAGGTCTAAAAGGGTACTTAGTTTTGGCTCTTTTCTTTCTTGCCACATTTTTGTTGACCATTACCTCCACCAAGCTTGATGTTCAACTTCGTACCTTTTGCCTTTAGAGGGATCGATAGTTGCCTTTCACTGAATGGCTGCAGAATGATTAAAGCACTTCTAAAAACCCCATCACCAGGGAGTCACTACTTCATTCTTGCAATTTTTCTGTCCTTGTAATACAACAGCTACATCATCGGAGGGATCCTTGTCTTCAGTGTACTTTTATTTTCTTCTTAGTCCTGCGCCACCCAGATAACCTGACCTTATAGGGCATTGTTGACTGACATTGAATTGAATTTAGCAACATAGTCCTCTCTGGCCTTCACTCCAATCAAACCATGAATCAGTGGGTACCAGAAGGTGTTTCACGATCTTCTCGAGCCGGTATTCTTCACCTTAACCACACACAGCCAATTTTAACTCGCGTATGTATCTCTCTTTCTTGAAACACTTGTTTTAGGAATTCAATATTGGAAAAGCTTATTCTTTGCATTTGTTATATAGGGCAGCTCTTGCATGCTCAAAGTGCGCACCATGGGTAAGAAAGTTTGGTTATGACGTAGCGTACAAACACCGACCTTCCATACACCCACTACATGTAAGGCGATGTCAAGTGTCACATTACATCTTGCACGAATATTGACACTAGCCTGTCAGTTGTGTAAGCCATCCGTATGAGGTTGAGTTGACAGCTGTCAAAATCACACATCTGCTGAAAATTATCACATGACCATCTTGCAGGCTTGTTTCAAAGACTAGTTTTGCCCCCACACATAAGCTGATATAATATGTCACACTTACCAACATAAAAATGAAACTACAGCTTCACAGGGCAGGGCTGCCAGTCAGCTGCGAGTAGTTTAAAGTTATGTGTAAGCCAAATTAAGGATAATTGATAATTTTGTGGTGCGATAAGTGGCATCATCAAACACATTTCGTTGGTATACTTTCTTAACAGCTCCATCTGCTTAACTATTTGATGACAAAACAGCAGTCTGGTCCTTAGGAGCTGATGATGAAGGGTCAGGAACCTCATCTGGTGGGTTGTCTTCTTGTCTTCTTTAATCCTGCTATCATCATCATTTCTTCCTTGTCATCGGAGTTTCTAGAATGAGGTCTGTAAAAGAAAGCATCACCGGGGGAATCTTTTTTCCTTTGACCAGTGAGGGCATCTAAATGTTTTCGATCCAGTGCAGAAAATTGGAGGGCCACTCATTCTTGATACATGTTGTTCCAGATGTCCTTGTTGGTTGGAAAAAATCTTCTGCATACAATCAACTCTCTCGTAAGTGACCATCCTTGGTGCACAACAAAGTGGTCGCTTACAGGAGGTGGTTAGAATATAGAACGTATGGTAATTTAGCATATTGGCATATTAGGGAAAGTGAAAGTTATTTTAACAGGATACAGTTACTGTTTATGAGAAACCTATCTAGATATTTTTTACTAAAGTATGCTGTGTCACCTCTCTCTTTCGCCTTCTGCAGTTTTTGAGTTGTGATTTTCTTAATTCATAAAGTTCTTTTGGCATCTCTTCGAAGACACTGCAAGTCTTGTCTTTGATCAACTTCCTCGCCTTAAATAGGACTTCTTTGCGGTCGCAGTAAGGTAGGAACTTTGCGATGATGGGGCGCAATCTCTTACCTCTCTCTTTCCCTACCCGGTGAACGTGTTGGAAATCAATTCTGCTTCGAGCATTTGAATTTGTAGCTCTTGTTCCACAAAATTGGAGATGATCTCTTGCGTGTTCTCCGTGTTTTGATTACTGACTGTGCTATTTTCTGTGCCATCTTTTGTACTGACCTCTTCTTGAATTCCAATAAACATTAAGTTCTCTCTTCTGCTATAGTGCTCTTGGTAAAGAAGTTGCATCTTAAGATTGTCCACATCATGTTGTAAACCTTTCACATCTCGCTGTAGGTCACTAATATCTGGGTCGTTGTAATCAACGCTCTGCTCGAGGTCATTTACCTTTTCATTGGTCTTTTTTTTCTTCTCTAAGGCTTCTACATCTTTTTCAATAATTCCTAAGGACTATTCTATATTGGTCACTGACTTGTTCAGTTTCTCTAGACGCACTTCGATGCTATCCAACTTGTTTAATTTATTCAAAATTAGGTCGACTTTAGATGCTAAATTATCTGCCATATTCAGCACTTTCAAAATGTTGTCTTCGCTCTCACTCTCTAGTGCACCATGATTCTTTTCTCATGTTTTCTTTTCTTCGGGGGAAGAAGCATTCGACGACCACAATTCTGGCCTATCTTTTCGTTTGAGTGACATTGCTAAAAGCCATCAATGATATAAGTTGTTGGCGGAGCACTAAAATAGCGTCCTACTCCTTCGGAATTCCCAGGGGTCTCCGGAATGGGAAAGTTGATTGGAATTAACTTCATTGCCCAATCCATTATGAGCAGCACCTGCGATAGTTTTAGGTTATCAATAATGAATTATTTCATATACTTCACATCAATAATTTCGCTCTTGGCCGTGTCCTGGTTAACTGAATGGAGAATGGCACCACAAGTTCCACAGAGAAGAATGTCTCTCAGCTGGTATGCTTCGTACCCATTAGCTTTGTTTATGAACACTTCGAATCTACTCGAACCTCTCTAAAGTTAATAATAGGAGTAGAAGAAGCTTTCAGCAGTAATTGTTAAGAGTTGTTGATTTTATTTTATCAACTTTTGCAGGACACGCTTCAAATGAAGTTTGATAAACAGGAACAAGGAAAGCGAAAAAATTTGGCATCATACAAAATTCCAAACCAGGACTGCAAAGTGTACTCGAAGACAGGCATTCTTTGAAAGGAAAAATAATGTTATGATGCAACTATATAGCCACTCGCAGTATAACAGCCATGCATTTGTTCGTAAGGAACGTTTTTGCGTTAGAGGTCACATACTAACTCTTCCAGTTTCTCCACTGCATAAATTCTGGTACAGTATGCACCTTCAATGTAGTAACATGCATATGCCACTTGTTGCACTAAGATAAGTATGTAAGTAACCTGAGCGTATTGTCATAGTAAACAACAGGGGAATTTTGCTTTGTTGTTCTTTTATACTTCTTGCTGAAATAGGCCAGATCATTCCCCACTGCCCTTTGAACATTTCAATTGTTACACCACTTTTCATTGAAACAACTTTACATTTGGTTCAAAGGGTGTTACATTGTCTCTGATCCCATAATTTTTACAATCTAGGTTACTTTGAATGCTTTTTTAAATCAACTCACAAAGTAATACAACAATAAGAGTGGCACTGAAAAGAGAGTAGTGACACTGTTCAAAGTTACTTAAAATAACACTACGCATAGCCTCTGAAAACCCAAAAGCATAGAGTCTACATTCAATGAAAAAGCATACTAACGTCTGCTGGAAACCATTTTGATTATGTATCATTGTGGTTCTGAAACCTAATCAGACATCTTCTGGACACCTCATATGAAAGCTTATGCTGAATGCACATGCTTTAAAGTACATGTTGAAATAGGTTAACCAGACACAGTTGCTGTATAAGGCGTTTCCTGTCAAGTACTTAAACTGTTACCTTTAAAAAGAGACTAGACTAAACTTTTTCAGCAGTAAAGGAACAAAGTACCTGTTTTCCTATCATTTCCACTTATCCATCACTCCTGTTCCATGGATGAATTTTGTTAAGCTTCCATCATCCGTTCAAAATCGAAACATGACCAGGCCCACAGATGACCCCAGCAATCCATTATTCACGTACTTTGCAAAATAATATGTTTATTATATGGCTTCTTCCTGTTTGGGGGACCGAAACAAGACGCGCGATTTGACAGCTGTCAAAAAAGAAAGTTTTTATTGGGTCACGAAAATAGTAGCACATAACAAAGGCTTTCCGAGAAACTGAAAACAAAATGCAAATGCACCATGTTAAGAAAAGTTCAAAATTTCGTCAAAACTAAGAGTTCTGTAAGTGTACAAAAAAGGAAAATATCAACTATCCTGCAGTCCGCACTTGAAAGTAAAGCAGCCTCTACTCCTGATCATCAATGCGTGGGTGCTTTGCCGAGCTTAATGGAATGATATTAAAAACACAGTTGTTCATTGTGCTGCTTGTTGCTCCTGCGAAAAAGCTTTGGCCTTAGCATAATTCGGAACGGGGATTTGGAGTTGATCACGTCTGGCTCTCAGCTTAAAACAATGTATCGGACATATGCCGTTGGTGTGTGATGGAAACTGATTTGCATGAACTCAAACTTTGAAGATTTTTGTGGCCACTTAGTTGCATCACAAAACGTTCTGGCACACCAGCATCAAGCAGACGGGAAATTGACGCTTTACAGATGGAATGATTGGATATCTTCTTATTTTGAGCTGCTAAACCGGCATTTTTTGCCGCTGTGGACATAAATTTCCCCATTTCGTTCTTGCCGGGTGGTTAGCTCTTGTACCAAACTTGGCTTTGGCGTCAGGTTTGGTGATTAACTGCCAGATAGAATGGCGATTCTGGGCTGTTGGCTTTCTGTGGATGGCGCACCTTAAACAACTTGTAAGAAAGAACAGGGCATCTGTTTGTGCTGGTGGCAAACACTTAAGGACAGAATTGGTGTTGATGACCGCCTTCGA